GCGTGCGTGTGCGTGTGCGTGTGCGTGTGCGTGTGCGTGTGCGTGTGCGTGTGCGTGTGCGTGTGCGTGTGCGTGTGCGTGTGCGTGTGCGTGTGCGTGTGCGTGTGCGTGTGCGTGTGCGTGTGCGTGTGCGTGTGCGTGTGCGTGTGCGTGTGCGTGTGCGTGTGCGTGTGCGTGTGCGTGTGCGTGTGCGTGTGCGTGTGCGTGTGCGTGTGCGTGTGCGTGTGCGTGTGCGTGTGCGTGTGCGTGTGCGTGTGCGTGTGCGTGTGCGTGTGCGTGTGCGTGTGCGTGTGCGTGTGCGTGTGCGTGTGCGTGTGCGTGTGTGTGTGTGTGTGCGTGCGCGTGTGCGTGTGCGTGTGCGTGTGCGTGTGCGTGTGCGTGTGTGTTTGTGGGGTAACCAACGTGGGGGGCGGACCAGCTCAGGGGGGAACATCGAGCTGAAATGGGCGATGCATCGCCGATATGCTGGTGATGGGCCGCCGATCGCGAATCCGCACGTTCTGGGTGGGTGTGATATTCGGCGACGGATGGGCGAGTGGGTGGCGATGAATCCCCCTGCTGCGCCTATCCCGCCCATAGTAAGGCGACGAAATCTATATACACATCCACTGCTCCCTGGCCAGGCCCGTCCTGAATCCAGCAGCGGTGTGTACGCCACGCCCTCCTGGCTTGGCCATGAGGGCGTACACACAGCTCCTGCGTTCAGGATGGGCCTGGCCAGGGCGCAGTGGCTGTGTATAGATTTCGTCGCCCGACCTAACACTGCCCCTGAGTGTGCTGGCAGATCTTCCTCGGCGACCTGGTGAGGGTGTTCAGCGGCGGCTGGCCTGGCCTGCCCCCTGAAGCTCCCGTGGTCCTCGCGGCGCTCCTCAGCATCTACGGGGCGCTCCCGCTCATCCGGCTGGGTGCAGCAACGACTGCGCCAGGATCTCTTCGTGCAAGCTATGTGCGAGAGTGTAGACCATGCCCGCCCCCCACAAGGAAGGCGCGTGTGGCGGGCATCAGTCTGCAAGGCGATGGGCACGCTGTGGTTCTGGATGCCCATGCAAGGCAAGAGGAATAAACTATAGTATAAACATGAACTGTTGGAGGTCTGCGCAGATTCCTTGAATCGACGCTGGGCCCCCCCCCTCCCTGGCGCGCGGAGCGCGCCAGGGGCGGCGGCGGAGGCGCCGCCAGGGGGCTTCAGCGCCGAGGCGAAATCCACGCGGCGACGCAAATGGAGGCACCTCCACGTTGCCGACCCTGGTTCGCCACCTTACCGACGCCTTCTGGGTGCCAAATGAGGGGGCGATAAGGGGGTGAGGGGAAGAAACCCATTTGGGATGGGAGGGGGATGTGGGGGGGATGGGTGGGTCGATCTGGGGGTGGGGGGGGGGAATGCGTTGGCGATAAAGGGGTGGGGGGGTGGGGGGATGGATGGGTGGGGCGATATGGGGCCCAAAAGGGGCACCTTTCGTCCCCCTTTTGGGCCCCACCTCCCCCATCCACGACCCCTCCAAGGCCCGAAGGGTGTACCTTCTTTCGCCCCCCGCCCATTCATCGCCCCCCCCCCACCCTCTATGACGCGACGCCCGAGCCACCTTCCGACGTCCCTTCCGGGTGCCGCTCTCCCGATGGCCCAGCGCCGAAGTGCACGGACCAGGTGCCGGCGGCGCGCACGCCCGTGTCCCGTGCGGCGCGCCAGCCGCCGTGCATGCCGGCGGCGCGCGGACTCGTGGCCTACGGCGCGGCAGCTCAGGTCTTGATATGCGAGTTTCCCCTCGGTGCTGTGTGCTACCCTCCGCCTCCTCCTCCTCCTCCTCCTCCTCCTCCTCCTCCTCCTCCTCCTCCTCCTCCCCCTTCCCGTCGTCATCATCATCAGCAGCATCAGCATCAGCATCAGCATCAGCATCAGTATCAGCATCAGCATCAGCATCAGCATCATCATCATCATCATCATCATCATCATCATCATCATCATCATCATCATCATCATCATGATCATCATCATCATCATCATCATCATCATAATCGTCGTCGTCGTCATCATCATCATCATCATCGCCGTCGTCGTCGTCGCCATCGTCATCAGCAAAATCATCATCATCATCCTCATCATCATCCTCATCCTCATCCTCATCCTTCTCATCATCATTATCCGCATCATCATCAGTAACAACATCATCATCATCACCGTGATCATCAAAATCATCATCATCACCATCACCATCACCGTCATCATCACCATCATCCGCATCATCCGACGCCCAACACCCGAAGGCAAACCCTCCGCCTGCTTCTGCAGATCCTCCTGGTCATCATCGTGTCCTTCCTTCTTCTCGTCTTCGTCCTCCCTCCGAAGCCCTGCTCTGCCGAGACGAGCCGCGGCTGTAGAGCCCAACCATGGGCTCGAACCCAAGAGCGGCGCGGGCGGCGGAGGGAGGCCCCAGGAAGCCGGGCCACACATGTTGGCGACAAAGATGGCGGGCTGGCACACGTCCAGCTGGTGCAGCTTCTCCTTCCCCCCACCCGACGAGAACGAGGAGACAGGGACGAGAGGGCGGGAGGGAGGGAGAAGCGAGGGGGAACGAGAAGGGCGGAGCACAAGGCACATGCATCTACATTCCCCAACCAGTGCTTACACTGGAGAGGTCCTGGCGGAGGTTGAAAGATTTGGCGAAAGTTTCCCGCCGATTGTGGTGGCAGGCCGGGTTCCCGGGTTCCCGGTTCCGGGTTTCCGGGTTCCCGGTTCTTGGTTCCGGGCCGATTTCGGTGGGTTCTGGGTTCCCTGGCTCCCGGGTTCCCGGTCGATCTCCTCAGCGAAAACCATCCATTGTTTGGGGCATTTCTCTGGTGTAATGTTTATACATACGAATATATATATATACACACACATATATAATACGCACATATATACACGCATAGAAAACCTAAACCGCCCTAAGTGGCACCTAGAACATTTGCATCTGGCACATAGAACTTGTCCGCCTTTGGGCCAATTGGCCTTGACGTAGCACGAACCTGAGCCGATGAGGACTTACCCTCCCCAGGAAGAACACCCCGACGAAAGCAGCCGCATGGCATCGGTTTCAAAATGGAGCCGTGTTGGGCAATATTGAGGCCATAGGTGTCGTCTTTGAACCATAAGGGATCATCTTGGAGTTGGATCGAAACCAACATGGAGTCATGGGATCATCTTGGGTCATGTCAGGGTCGACTCGGCGTCCGGCGGTGCTCCCGGCCCCATCTTAGCGTCATACGGGTTTCATTTGGGTATTGTTGGGGTTCTTGGGGCCACCTTGGGACCATCTTGGAGTCGCGAAATCGCATTGCACTTGTGCCACGAAATCGCATTGGGGTCATCATGGGGCCCTGATGGGGTCGTCTTGGAAGCGTCGCGGGGTCACAGTGGATCGCCTTTTCGTCGTGGGGTCATCCTGGTGTCGCGCTAGGGCCCCGGGGCCATCCCAGGAAGACGGTGTCACGTGGAGGTCGCCCGGGGATCGCATTGCGACCGCGGGCCGCGACAAACCTCCTGCTCACTATCCTACGTTGCGGGGGGGGGGGAGGGAACAAAGCAGCGTGATCACAGCCTGGCGGCGCGGGGTCGGCGGTCTGACCCTGGTGACAAAATCGATGTTTGGGAGGGTCGCAGGGCGCGCGGCATCTGCGGGTTGTGCCAAGATGGCTACGTGGCCAAGGGGGGGGAAAGAAAAAGAGACCGAGGAATGATGGGCAACGAGGAGCGCAGGAGGAGCGGGCGGAGGAGGAGGAGGAGCAAGTAGGAGGAAGGGGAGGACACGGAGGACGATTGAATACATGGAAATACGAAGAGGAAAAGGTGGATCAGGAGGTGGGCCAGAAAGAGGGGCAACAGGGGAACGAGGGGATAGAGGAGGGAAGGGGGATAGCGAGGAAGAGAAGGAACCCAATATGATAAGTGATAAGGAGGGGAGGAGCAGGAAGAGGCTGAGGAAGAGGAGGAGATGGTAAGTTCTGTTTGCCACTGAGGTACCCAGAGGCCTCCAAAAGTCCACAGAGGCCTCTAAATTGCCAGAAACGTCAAACCATCTACAGGCAGCAACCATAACAAAACACTCGCCCCTGGATCCTCGAGCGTCGGGGCCTCGCTGCTGCCTCTGCAACTGCTGTTACATGCTGCCTCTGCCGCTGCTGCTATCGCCGACGTAGCTGTTGCAGCTGCTGTTTTCGCCGCTGCTGTTTCTTATGATGCCAGCTTCGCGCTCTGATGTTCGTCGTAGGGTTGCTGCTGTACCGCCCTCCCGAACAACAAGTTGATGGATGTAGGCCATTGGTTCATGGCGTGTTCTTGGGATCGTTGCGACGTCGCATTGAGGTCATTACGTTTTGGGATCACCTTGACGTCATATGGGAACCATCTGGGAGTCGTTCGGGGGCGATGCATCCAGGACCGAAAAACCCACGTCGGGCACCGATGATTGATCAGTGCAGATGGAAAAGTCAGGATCGAGCATCGGGGATGCAGCATCAAGGATCGATGTGCAAGGATGGCATATCGCGGATAGAACATCAAGGGTTGAATCGAACATCGCAGATCGAGCATCGAGGGTCGAACCCCACCAGCCCTGTAGGGCGTGAAGTGGTCTAGGGAGTTCATTATTCCTTCTTATAAAATCCCTCTCCCTATCATTTCCCTGGACCCCCCTGCAAAGGCCATGCAATACCCTGCAAAGCCCCCCTGCAAAGACCATGCAAAGACCCCATACAATACTCTGCAAAGACCCCTGCAAAGACCTCTGCAACACCCTGCATACCGGATCCCTGCAATAACCTGCGCAGACCCTGCAATATAATGCGATGGCATTGCAATGCCCTGCAATGACCATGAAAACCCATCAGCCCTCTGGGCGCGGGTCGTTGAACTCTTCCAACCCCCGAATACATACAGGTGGCCCGTGCGTGCCCAGGCCCCGAGAGGGCCCCTAGAGGGCCTCAAGAGTTCCCAAGAGGGCTCCAAGAGGGCCCGAGAGGCCCTGGGAGAGCCCCAAGGGGACCTCAAGAAGACCCCCACGACGGCCCTAAGAGGCCCCCCCCGACGGATGCTACAACAGGGGGGGTGCGTTGTAGCATCCGTTGGAGGGCCTCTTTCTACTCTCTTGGAGCCCTCTTGGGGGCTCCTGGAGGCGCTGGGAGAGCCCTCGGAGGGGTCCAAGAGGGCCCCCAAGAGGGCACCCGACGGATGCTACAACAGAGGGGTGCGTTGTAGTATCCGTCGGGGCCCTCTTGGGGCACGTTTGGGGCCCTCTTGGAGTCCTACTCGGGCGCTCTGAAGGCGCGGGGGGGGGCCTGCAAAGGGCCCCAAGAGAGCCCCAAGAGGGCACCCGATGGATGCTACAACAGGGGGGTGCTTTGTAGCATCCGTTGGGGACCCTGTTGGGGGCCTCTGAAGGCCCTCCGAAAGCACACTGGAGGGCCCTGGAGGGCACCGAGAGGTCCGTCTTGGGGCCCCAAGAGGGCGCCGAGAGAGCCTCAAGAGGGCCCAACGACCTGTCACGAACAAGGCCTTGTTCGCGACAGGTTGTTGGCTCCTCTTGGAGCCCTGTTGAGGCCCGCCGAGACCGCGCTGGAGGGCCCTTAAGAAAGGCCCAAGACGGCCCCCCGCGGGCCCAAAGGGTACCGCGAGGGGGCCCAAGGGACAGCCACGTGGGCCTCCCGTGCATGACAAGTTTTGTATATGACCACTCTTGTACATGAGCAGTCTCGTATACGACTTCTGTTAAAGATTGCCCCTCGGACCCGACCTTATCAGAACCCAGAGTTGTGAGAATGTCTCAAGCGAAACGGGCCCGACCACTGAAGAATGTTGCGGATGTCTCTGCCAGAGGGCCCCTGGCGAGAATCCCACCAGCCCTCTGGGCACCGGTGGTCTAGAGCATTTCCTCTTCCATCTTCCGGGGAGGGGGTTACGAGGGGTGCCCCCCTCACCCTTCCCCCCGGGTCTGGACAGGGGGGCGGGGAGGCGCTGGAGCGCTCCAGATGGCCCAAGATGGCTCCCAGAGGGCATTAGAGACCCCAAGATGACATCCAATATTGTTTAAATATAACCCAGGATGGCTCAAGATGGTTTCCAAGGTGCTCCAAGATCCCCAAAGATCGCCCCAATGCGGGTCCAAGGGCCGTTGGGGCTTCCGAAGGACACCCCCAAAGGCCAACATCTTTCCCACGTCTAAGGGTCAGAGGTGTTTGTTTGAATTGTCGCCTTTTCACTTCCGATGGGCTTTCGAAGCCTGAATACGGCTCCGAGATGGCCCGAGATTGCCCAGGAGGGGCCCAAGAGGGTCCCAAGACAGCTCGAGGAGCACCCAAAAACGCCCCAAGAATGCCCCAAGAGGGCCCCAAGAGGTGATTTCGAGGGGCAGGCCAGTTTGCCCCCTCTTCGATCAAGAAAAACTTTGAACACATTGGTTTTGACGATTCGTTGCTCTTCGGGGGGGCATCTCTGGGGCCCCGGATGCTTAAAGATGGCTTCAAAGATGGCGCAAGATGGACCAAGTTGGCCCAAGATGGCCTCCAAGATGCCTCCAAGAGGTCCCCAGGCCGCTTTAAGACGGGTCCAAGTGGCATTGGGGCCTGTCCAGGGCGCCCCCCAAAGGCCCAAATCCTCCCCACACCTAAAGAGAATCAATGAACTTGGCCTTCTCGCCCGTTCGCTTTCGATGTCCTCCCAAGACCTCAAGATGGCTCCAAGAGGGCCCAAGAGAGACCCAAGAGGGGCCCAAGAGGGCTCCAAGACAGCCAAAGGAGCGCCTAAGAGCCCCACAAGGGCGCCCCCAAAGGCGATTGGAGCGGCTGGAGAGAGGCATCGCTAATACCCCCCCTTCGTGTTTGATCAACACATATTTTCCTCGGCAAAAGATCGCGCGGCGAGATCCCAGGAGGTCAGCGGAGCGGTGAAACTAGAGGAACATTGATCAACACACACTCACATTGACAAACATATTAGCTTTGAAAGATGTTGGATTTTCGAGGGCCTCTGTGGGAGGGTGTTGGCCCAAGAGAGCTGCAATATGGGGCTCAAGATGGCCTTAAGACGGCCCCAAGAGCGCCCCATGAGGGCTCCAAGAGGCGATTCTGGGGACTCAATAGGAGTGACGCTGATTGAGGACCCCTCATCTGATATCGATATCCTCCAAGATGCCAGGAGAGGCCTTTCGAAGGGCAAACAAAATACTTCAACAAGCCCCCAAGAGGCCCCAAGACGCCCCCAAGAGGCCCCCAAAAATTCCGTAAGAGGCCCCAAGAGGCCCCCAAGCGGCCCCCACCGCCAAGAGGCCCCCAAGACGCCCCCAATAGGCCTCCGAGAAGCGCCAGAGAGACATCCCCAGAGACTCCAAGGGACATCCAAGATGTCTCCAGCCCCTCTGCATGCCCTCCTTTTGATCATCGCCCGCTCCCTCCTCCCCTGTCCATCCCCCTTTTCCTTCGGACGAAAAGCTACCCCCCTATTTGCTCCCACGCTTCTTCTCTGATCACCTC